TTTTCTGTTATTAAGTTTTCCATATTACACTTCTCTTATTATTAAGTATTCTATATTACACGCTTCCTGTTATTAAGTATTCTATATTACGCGCTTCCTGTTATTAAGTATTCTATAATACACGCTTCCTGTTATTAAGTATTATATAATACACGCTTCCTGTTATCAAGTATTCTATATTACACGCCTCTTGTTATCAAGTATTCTATATTACACGCTTCCTGTTATCAAGTATTCTATATTACACGCTTCCTGTTATTAAGTATTCTATATTACACACTTCCTGTTATTGAGTATTCTATAATACACGCTTCCTGTTATTAGTATTATATATTACACGCTTCCTGTTATTAAGTATTCTATATTACACGCTTCCTGTTATTGAGTATTCTATATTACACGCTTCCTGTTATTAAGTATTCTATAGTACACGCTTCCTGTTATTAAGTATTCTATAGTACACGCTTCCTGTTATTAAGTAATCTATATTACACGCTTCCTGTTATTAAGTATTCTATATATCATGCTTCCTGTTATTAAGTATTCTATATTACACGCTTCCTGTTATTAAGTATTCTATATATCATGCTTCCTGTTATTAAGTATTCTATATTACACGCTTCCTGTTATTAAGTATTCTATATATCATGCTTCCTGTTATTAAGTATTCTATATATCACGCTTCCTGTTATTAAGTATTCTATATTACACGCTTCCTGTTATTAAGTATTCTATATATCATGCTTCCTGTTATTAAGTATTCTATATATCACGCTTCCTGTTATTGAGTATTCTATATTTGCGCTCAATGCACTATTGTAATCGTGCTTTTCTGTTTGAACCTCAGGTAACAGTTTTTGGGCTGACGGTCGGCTGTCATATTTAGTTCTTGTAATGTCTTTCATATTTTATACTTTTAAAGGCAGTTCAGTCCTAGCTACCATGGAAGAATTGATCAACAAGGACACAACATGAGCTATTCTGTAATTTATAAAACTGTTCATTTGACTTTTATCAGTTATTTCATCAATAGTTAGCGGATTTAATGTTTCCTAGTAGTAGGTGCAGTCCCTTTTGATTGTTACAAATGTTTTGAACAGCTGATTATAGAATCAATCTTGAATAACAAAGCTCCTTCCAGATAAACGAGTACCCATTATCACACCTCTTTGAAAGTCTGGGAGATTCTTTTCCTCATTCATTGCCTTACAGACTAACAATGATATAACTAACAAATTCTGAGTTATTGAGAGATATCAACCTACCGTCAGCTTCACACTTCAAAAACAGAGATGACCCCTCGTCAAACGGTCCAGCAAGGCCTTCTAGACGTTGACCATTTACATCCATTATGATTGTAGATTTGGGAGGCACTGTGGAAATACGTAATTACAATATGCGATTATAATACCTTGCTAGAACCAGAAACATTTGAGTTTATTTTATCCTTATCTAATCTGCTATGCAAAGAGAATTGAAAAGTTTAAAGATGCGACATAGTTAATCTGTTGGTTTCAATTCATTCTGATACCAGACAGTGATACATTTCTATTAATCTTATCAAAAACAATGACAATTCTTACCAATAACGTTCAGAAACAGTTTCCATTTTTCAGTTCGAGCTCGTCGATAATCCACTCGACATTCGTATTCTCCTTCGTCGTCTTTATGAACGTGTTCAATCTTGAGAATGGGGGGTTTGTAGTTTAAATCGAAGTAAGTCCTTGATCCCAGAGGATCATCTGAAAAGTGGTTTGCTTTGTAAAAGGATCCAGGACGGGCATCAAAGCTGTAGACGGGAACACCGGAATCTTCTCTAAACCATAACACCAAAGCAACATCATCTCTATTCGGAGGGAAAGTCACATTACAGGGAAGAACGGCTGTGTATCCTTCAATGACTTGTATCTCTGGGGAAGCTGAAAAACACGATGTTGTTTTCGTCTTTTCCATTAAAACTAATGATTAGTTTGATGCATATGGAAATTCTAATTTATAATTGAGATGTAGCTTTTATCATTAAGGTGTATATAACTTAAATGGTTTTATTATATTCCAAGTGGCTTGTGGATACCTATTTTCACTTTGTAAGAAATAATTAAAATCAAAGAATGATCACAAAATAAGATGTAAGTTTTGTAACAAAAGGTAATAGAACAACATAAAGTCTTATCATTTTTTTTATTCCTGTAAACTCCCAGTGGAGCATAGGGCCGTAACAATCCCTCGCCAACGGAAGGTGATGTTGCAGTTACTTGTAGCTGGTTGGTTTTTACGGGGTGGAGTTGCTAGCCCCGCGCCGAACCCTCCCCCTTTCTCATCCTGGACTTGAGACCAGGCAAAGGCAGAGGATGACATGTTTGGTGTGACCCGCGACCCTCAGATTACGAGTCGAGCGCCCTAACCATATGGCCATGCCGGGCCTAAAGTCTTATCATCATCACAGTCATTTATCTCATAACCCTGTTCACTTAAAGTGTTAATGAAACACCTTCAATAACCCTGTTCACTTAAAGTGTTAATGAAACACCTTCAATAAACCTGTTCACTTAAAGTGTTAATGAAACACCTTCAACTTCTTATTTTTTGAATCAATGTTCATGTCGAACGGTGAGATTTAACTACATCTTTAAAAATGTAATTTGATTGGAAACTGGTTGGAAATACGTTATACAGAACATGCGTGAAAACCGTACAGAATATGACGTAACGCTAGATAATTATCTACAAATTAGACTTGAGACGTTACAGTAAGTATTGTTCACAGATACATTGTTGAAGATGTCTATCATTAGTTTATTATTACTTCCCTAAAGTAAGCGCTAGTAACATATCTTACATACGAAGAACATCATGTTGGTGAGGGAACAGACACCTGCGTGTATCGCCTGGAGAAAACACCCAATTATGTATCCTTACAATCATTCCAGACCTTTATCTTTTATTAAACAGGAATGACTCGTGTGTAATTTCCTCTTTTACCAACGCAGAAAGTAATGAAAAGAGTGCAACGCTATATCAACGCACAAAGATGCAAGATGCGCAACTTTTCCTGTGAGATCAAATTATATACATTCAAAACACATTCGTAATACATTGCATTATGAACGCCAAACCACAAAATTAGGTGCTGTACAAAAATACATGGAATTTCAAGCTTCGCGATAAATATAATTTATTCATTGTAACCACCAAACAATATGCCAAAACAATACATATTACAAGTTCTATAAGTCCTTACATCCAGCTCAATTCTATAAATTTATATTGACATTATGTCTAAATAAATACATTTCATGATCATTTTACAGTTGTATTTCTAACGAGCGTGTAATATGCTTTATGTAAAGTACACTTCCTGTATATACATGCATAAATTGTTACACATACTGATAAAACTTAACATCTTACTCTGCTTGGTAAACTAGTTTCTTAATATACACAATTTTTATCAAAACAGGGTTGATGTGTAACGTTAACGAGTGCGTCTGAATTTCAAGAATTAATGGATTGGATGACAGTAAAATATACTCTTTAGGGATGTAAATATATATAAAGTTATACTTGTATACTTAATACGGTGGTTTCCAAGGGAACAAATACTTAAGATTATGGAGAAAGCTGGATTCAGCTAATTCTCTAATGGATCATTAGG